TTTCTCTCTAGTCGGAAGAAAGAGGCCCGTGGAATAATTATAATAGCGACGCGCAACGCTCGAGAAGCGCGAGTCGCAGGGCGGGTAAAAGGGATCGAGCCGACTGGAAGCGAAGGAAAATGGGTTTTGTCATTATCATCAAGGCCGAACGGAAGCGCGCTGATAAAGCTTCGCGCTGAATAAAATCGCGCACGGCGCCCTTGCGCTCTTGCCTGCCAATCGCCAGGCTGTTTCTTTACAGTCGGCTTTTCACTTCACTCGCTCACTCGTTCGCGCACTTCTCGCAAATCTATATCCGACGCGCGGACGTAGTTAATATTAATTGCGCGAGGACGCGTATAGCGGCGGCATGAGAAATCACGCGAGCATCGAATCGAGATAAAAGTTTATTATTCCGTCTGCAGTCGACGCGGAGAGAGAATGATGACGGTGTGCCCTGTAACAATCTGGAAAATAAGCGGCCCCTTATCGCGCCGAGATCTCCTGAATGCGGAAGATGGATCAGCAAATCAAGATAGAATGCCCGGTCGGGGGGAAAGGAAAAAAAGAGGGCGGAATGTACTGAATGAATACGGCCGGTCCGCGCGGCTATTTATGTCCGAAAATCCATCAGGATAACAAACGTTTTTCACGCGCCGTTTATTCAACAGTTTGTTGCGAGACCGGCGGGAGAGATGTTACACACGCGTCCCCCCGATGAAAAATGTGTAATAGCGGCGGGACCGGCGGGGACTAGATGAAGAAACCCGTATGAATAAATTTGTTTAACGTAACATTAACAGACGAAATAATCACTGTGAAAACGCGTCTCGTGACGCGTTCCGCGTTCCAAATCGCGCACCGATAAATTAACGGCAGAGAGGACGAGAGAAGAGCGAGAGGGGGAGGAGGGAAGGGGAGAGAAAGAGAGGAAGGGACAGTCGAAAGTTTTCGCACAGTTTGGTACTCGCGCGCAACGTTAACAACAGACAGACACACACACACACACACGACTCGCGTGAATTTAACGAGCCGTCAAAACACAGTAATTGAAAGATAATTAAAAATAAGTTCGATTTAAATGTCCCGGACGCGCGATTCGAACGCAAAACAAATATGATCCGAAAACACACTCGCGAATTGCCCGAGCGGGGGTCGA